CAAACCATTCAGGAATCCATTGGATTCCATAGGTCTCCAAATGAAGACCATTTTAATAGGTTCCTCACTCCTAAAATAAAGAATAAACACCTAAAAAAAACTTCACTGGAAAGTGTTCTGACTGTGATAATGGGGCCACCATAACTGGTCTAATATTGAAAGCGCTGGTGTCAGTGTCTGAAGTAAAGGACAAATAAAGGCAATGTATCCTATGCATTGGGCTGATGGCCAACTAAAGTCCTTGCACACTTTGTCTTATTTACAAAACTCGTATGATGCTCTTAGGACAGGGACAGGCAAGTGTAGCTTTCCATTTGTTGATGAATTTCAACTCTCATCAACCCTAGTTAGTGAGGTGATGCTTGAAGTTGTCTGCCTTGTTCTGGGAAATTTGGATGAACTCTTTAGAACAACGTAGTTCTCCTTCAAATTGAACTATGATCAGGGCAGAAATGTTTATCTTTTTGATGCTGACTTATGTTATGGATGTTCTTTATTTTCTCAGCTTCCCTACTGGCCCTGAGGTCTTTCCCTGAATTCAAGAAGAAGGCAATATGGACAAAGGCCTATGGGTGGTAGTCCAAACATCTCACCTTCACTTTGGTCAAAGAAATGAAAGAAATGATAACATAGCTAGTGTTAAAATATGCCATGCCAAAGACCATACATGTCATGGAGTCGTATAGGTTTTCCGTTCTCCGGAGATCATTTTAGATCCTGAGTAAGATACTTAAAAGTGCTAGCTTTTAATTATCTTCTCAATTTATTGAAAGTAAGGGCTTAACAAATTTGTAAAACTTTTATTTGAATTTGACAGTTTCATATTTTTAAGAGTAAAGAATGGCCTGAATGCTGACTGCATAATAGTTTATCATATACTGGATGAAAAGTGTCTGTGATCTATGACGAAATAAAATTTCTGCCTTGAATTAGCAACTGCTGGATGTGCTTTGCATGTTAGAAGATCGGATATAGCAACTTTCCTCATTGATGTGCATTTCAGACATTTTGGATCATGGCTTCAGTCATTATAGATGGTAGTCTTCAAATTTTAGGAAAATACCATAGAGCAGCAGTGGTGAGGCTGTGCTATGAGATATTAAATCCATGCAACATATTCAGGAGAAAACATGTTGGCCATGCAGCAAAATACAACAAAATTCAGAATACACAGTAGAGTGACACCTTTATTGTGTAATGCAACTGCACAAAATAAACAATGGAAGCTTTTTTTTTACATTGGCAGTTTTTACATATGCAACATCTTAACTTTTTCTAGGGGTAGTAATACAGGGACTTTATGAACAATGCAGTGTTCTCTGCCTACTAAAGGAGCACTTAGCTTCTCACAGGACAGGAACAACCTCAGTCTCAAGGAAATGTATTTATCTGTTTATAATGGAGCTGAAATATGATTACCTTCCTTTTCTTGACCTTTGTACATGGCCTTCACATGACCAAGAAAAAGAGACCTTTGCCTGCACTGAGATCCCTTCAAAAAACTGAACTACAATAGAAATAGTCCTAGATTAACACATTTGTCAATTTTGGTCTCCACTATTTTAATCTTATTTTACATTCAATCGTACATACATGCTCCATATGATATGCTGGCTAGGATCCAAGTAATGTTATGTTTGGGTATTTCCTGTCACCTTATGGCAACCTCATGAATTCCCTCAGGTTTTCTGGTATTTCTTGCTGCTCTCCTATCCAAGTGACAAGGGTTGTCCTGCTAACTTCTAAGATCAAACAGGATCTGATACTTTTATGATACTTAGGTCCTAAAGAACACCTGTAAGAATTCCTAAACATGGGTGTATATCCCAAACAACTTGTTTGCAAAATAATTTTGTGTCTAGATATGTTTTGAAATGAAAAATTCAATTGAAACCTGATTTTTTTTTCTTTTGGGGACTGTCAAATGACTAGTTTGAGAAAAAGCATAGAGGAATAATTCATAACATGTTTACACTTGCAAGACTGATTTATAGCCAGGGGTGGGTGGAGACAGCCTGCAATAAGAAGGCTGGCTGATACAATTATATACGAGTGCAAAAACTGGTAAGTAAATTAATGCGTTTGATTAGAAAGAATCTGTTAAAGAGTTTTACACAGATTGGGAATTGTTTTCTAAAGGAAATATTGAAAAATATCAGTTAGGTTTTGAAGCACAATAGGATCAAAAGATATGCAGAAGTTCATTTAAGGTTTATAATTAAAGGAAATAAGATATTAGGATAACACTATGTAACAAAATTTGAAAAAAAATTATGTTCCTGGTTTGAAAGTTTTATTTCCTGTTTAATTGTGTGGTACTTACTTTAAAATAGTTGTTATCCTCTAGGGACTTCGTTTTTGTGGCTGCCACAAATTATGATGAATTGGTTTGAGACTGTAAGATATTCACTGAAAAATTATAGCAAAATGTGCCGCAGGACATCCCACAAAACATAGTTTTTGCAGTTTAATTAACTTTTCCCATGTTTTTATGATACAACCAATTAGGAAATGATATTTACAACCCAGGAAGAAAAAATGTGTTACACAGTGTAATTAGATCCGTTGGTTGGAAGCCATTGGACACATTCACACTGACCCATTATCCCAAATCAGGATAACATAGCCTTGAACTGCATTAACCAAAGTTACGAGCTACACCCAATTCTCCCGAAGAATCCAGAACAAACCATGACTTTGAGTCATGTAAGCAGTTGGGCCAATGCCAAAATGAAACTGGCCCTGACTGTTGACACTGGGCACAGGTGGCCTGGGGACACAGAATGGCACTGTCCCTCTCCTTGTTCTTCTCCTGGCAACCAGAAGATAAGTGATAACACAAGAACCTACATTTTGACAAAGATGTTATTCTATGCTTACCCCTTAAATGCTGAGGTTGGAATCCCTTGTGTTTAGATATGTTAGTATCCTTTTTTTTAAAAAAAATCTTGTTTTTCTGAGAGTTTAGAAAATGGCACAAAGTAGTCTTCGTGTTAAGAAAAAATGCCTCTATTAAATTTTACCAATGCAGATGGAGGATATAATTGTTTCAGATCATTTTTAATATCCCCAAAAGTGTAAATAATAAAAAAAAACAATGTGAGAGAGAACAAAACAGAGATTTTTCCTCTCCCTATCCATAACATTTAATGAATTGGCACCTGATAAGCATCTGATCAAAATGACCCAATAAATTAACCATTAGTATTTGACTAAAAGTTTGTCTCATTGCATTGTTTAGTCCCTTCCTAGTATTTTAAGATCTTAATCTCATGTCTGTCCACAGCATTTTGTGTTGATTATTCATGACTGTTATGTGCTGCAAACATGCCTTGTTTTGCAAACTGTAGTTTGGGAATCTGATATGCGTATTTTAGAGATGTGTCTGGAATGTACCATTTCTGTCCCGACTTTCTGGCCTTGTCATGCCACCAGTTTTAACCATTACAAAATAATTTAGCATAGTGCACTTATACAGCTGCTTGTCTAGATAGGTGTTTGTGAGAACAGACCCCTTTTTACATATCGGAGAAAGTAAACAGATTTATCTAGTTCTACTACCTGCATTTTGGATCATAAAAATGAATGATTGCCACTCTTTACATTAGCGTTTTACCTTTTATACCACCTTGTAATGTAAAGTCTGCATCTCAAAATTTCAACTATGATATCACATTACCTTCTATTTGTTCATGGTAAAGGTAGAGGTTTCCCCTTGACATTAAGTCTAGTTGTGTCTGACTCTGTGGGATGGTGCTCATCTCTTTTTCTAAGCCGAAGAGCCGGCGTTGTCCGTAGACCATTGTCCAGAGATCCAAAGGTCATGTGGTTGGCATAACTGCACAGAGCGCCATTACCTTTCTGCAGAAGTAGTACCTATTGATGTACTCATATTTGCATGTTTTCAAACTGCTAGGTTGGCAGAAGCTGGAATTTGATCCGCCAACCTTTCGGTCAGCAAGTTCATTAACTGTTTAACCCGCTGTGCCACTGGGGGCTCCTCATGACTACATAATACATTTTTTATATCAATATACTAATGATAAATCATTAAGACTAGTGTTGCCATACAATAAAAAATCGAGATCAAAAATTAGCATGCATCTCTACTCCTTTATCATTTTTATTTCAAAGTTTCTTTTTTTAACAAACAGATCTCCAATGGCTAAGAAATCATTAATGCACATAAAGGTTAATAAAAATTCTTCTGTATGGAAGAAAGATTCTCCAGGGGGAAGCATACACATGTTAATTCCAGTTCTTGGCATGACACATTCCAGTCTTAAATGTTTGCATTGACATGTTTTCCCTTTGTTGACAGGGTAGCTCTGGTGTTTCTTATACGGCATCCATCCTATAGAGGGAGAAATAGAGGGAGAAACCGTGGAGGCCGTGACAGACTTTGTATTTCTAGGGGCAAAGATTACTGCAGATGCAGACTGTGGCCAGGAAATCAGAAGACGCTTAATTCTTGGGAGGAGAGCAATGTCCAGTCTCGATAAAATAGTAAAGAGTAGAGACATCAGACTGGCAACAAAGATCCGCCTAGTCAAAGCCATGGTATTCCCTGTAGTAACCTACGGATGTGAGAGCTGGACCTTAGGGAAGGCTGAGCGAAGGAAGATCGATGCTTTTGAGCTGTGGTGTTGGAGGAAAGTTCTGAGAGTTCCTTGGACTGCGAGAAGATCCAACCAGTCCATCCTCCAGGAAATAAAGCCCGACTGCTATTGGAGGGAAAGATACTAGAGACAAAGTTGAAGTACTTTGGCCACATCATGAGGAGAAAAGAAAACCTAGAGAAGACAATTATGCTGGGGAAAGTGGAAGGCAAAAGGAAGAGGGGCCGACCAAGGGCAAGATGGATGGATGGCATCCTTGAAGTGACTGGACTGACCTTGAGGGAGCTGGGGATGGTAACGGCCGACAGGGAGCTCTGGCGTGGGCTGGTCCATGAGGTCACGAAGAGTCGGAGATGACTGAACGAATGAACAACAACAACATCCATCCTATATTTATAGTGGAAGCATGGCTCACACTATAGAATGTCTGTCTATGGGAGAAGAAAGATGTATATGTCTATAAAAAGCTAATGTGTTGGAGAAACCTTTGGAGTATTTATTCTCACTGAAAACTCAGCCCAGCAGCAGAATATAGCATTTTAGATCACTACAGACTCATCTTGAGGCCTCCTTTAAATCTCACCCTTAGCAGCTGGTACTCTAATCACAAACGAATGCTAGATAGCACAGTTTCAGTTGCCCACAATGTCCTAAATGTCCCTTTTTATATTAAGAAAACAACCCCAATAATGTACCCCTTTAAAAATGACACCAGTGCTATTGATTAATAGTGGCTGTTGAACTAAGAAACACAGTAGAATAATGGGTTTATCAAAGTGGGTTTACCAAAGGCCACATTGAAACCAAGAAACTTACTATTCTTCATTATGCTGTCATCTCGTCTTAAAACATCCATATTTATTAATTTTCCCATCAATTAGGTTGACAAAGATTTCTTACCCTGAAATTAAGACATTGGAATGGGGGAGGGGTATTATGACCTATTCTTTTTCAGTTTGGCTATGGCTAATGATCATTGTTTTTCTTTCTGATCATCACTTATAATACTTGTTCATTTTGCAGTCCTCTCTGGGTCATTTCACTTTTCAGTAATATTTATTAACATGAATATTCTGAAGCCATAAGATAGATTTCAGTAGTTTGCTTCATGGTAGTCATGGCAAGCACTTAATAAAAAAAGCTCTTGGGTGTGGATAATGATTTATTTGGCTTAAATCCAATTGTTTGTCTCAACAAAATACACCCTCTGAATCAATAGGAACTTGGTCAGTTAGCACATGTAAATTCAGTTGATTCAATAGGTCATTGGGATTAATTGGATTTAAGCCTGAACATATCAATTGGCTTGAATAGCAGTGGCACTGACATGTGGGAATCGTGAATTTGCTCTAGGCATTAATCCTAACTTTAAGGGAGCTATCTAGGGTGCTGAAGCTTGCTTGGGAATAGGGTTCAGCACCTTGGATAGCTTTGGAGTCAGGAGTGGAACGCAGAGTAGATTCACAATCCAACTAATATGAAAATCATCAACTGTCATGATTGAACATGGAATGCAGATTGTGCATTCTACTTAGGTGCAATAGAGCAGCCACTGTGTTGCTGGGCTAGCAAAGAGTTACTCAGAATACTATCATATTCTTACTTCTCATTATACACCAAAGCCAGACCTCAACAGTGCTTTCAATAATGCCATTATGCCCAAGGATCCTAATTCTGTTGCATGTACACACATTCGCATTGCTTTTTTGAAAGGCTCTAGATACAGTGGAAACATGTGGTAAGCTTCATTCAACTGGAAATCTCCAAATAGCTGTCCCTTGGAAATTGGTATCAAGCAAATTGTGTTTTCCAGCAGAAGTCATTCTCCTTGTCCCAAGATAATGTAGGTTAGCTGCTTTTGGTTTTGACACTGTAGCTTCCTAAGTGAACCTTCCTTTCCTTGCAGAGGTAGTGGATGATGAAGTAGGCACCTGTAATCCCAGAACACAGTACATTTTAAGAACAAGTCAAAGACTAAGAAGTATGTACCATTCTCTATAAGCTGTTTCTTTCAGTCTATATATAAGATTCAGTACAGGCAATCCCTGAGTTACAAGTATCTGACTTACAAATGACTCATAGTTAAGAATGGGGTGAGACAACAAGAAGTGAGAGAAAACTACTCGGAAGGGAAATTCCCTTCTGAAAGAGTTACCATGAGGAGAAAGTGTCTCCACTGAAGTTTTATCACCAAACTTTGTTTCCACAACAAACCATTTCTTTCAAAATCCAGTGATCACAAGGACAGAAAGTCCGGTAAAATCTTCTGGGCAGGGGCGCAGACAGCTAAACAAACACCACAGGGGTTTGTAGTTTGGCGAAGCATCAGTATTCTTTGGCAGAGAAGTTCAATTCATTCACATCACATTGGACTTTGGCTAATATTAGCAAAGATTCAAGGAATCGGCTTGGCAAACAAGAAAACCTGCACAATGCACACGAAGCAAGTGTATTACTAAAACACAGCGTCATATAAATGTGCATGGCAAAATTTGTAATTTAGACAGCTTTATATCAGATACATTTTTCAAAGCAAAGCTGAACAATTTCCCCTCACATCCCATGAACCAGAGCCAGTGTATTCATATGAGTCAATTTGTATATTATGAGTATTTATTTAATTCATGGGAATGGGGGGGGGGGGAAGGTTATGTGAACAGGTGACCCTAGCAAGAAACCAAGAGTGTCTGTACACTGTATAATGAATGTAGTTTGACACCACTTTAACTCCCATGACTCGGTACTATCATGGGAGTTGTAGTTTGATGAGAAAACAACATTCTTTGGCAGAGATGGCTAAAGACCTTGTAAAACTACAGCTACCAAGTTTCCATAACATTGATTCATGGCAGTTAAAGTGATGTCAAACTACATTCATTCGACAATATAAATGCACATTGAACTGCTCTTCTTGGATTACTAATTTCAGCAGCAAGATTTCTCTATTGAGGTGCTTGATAAGAAATTCAAAACTTACCTCCAAATAATATTGCCATGTAAGCTTTTAGCACGTAGGGAAAGTAGACAGATACATCAAATGGAAAGGGCAACTGGACAGAGTATGTGCCGTAGGTTTCAAAGTGGGGCAATGATTCATATATGGCAAATGCTGATGGAAAATAATACAAAAAACCAAAATTGGAATTAGTGGATTTTCAGGATGACATTCCAATAATAATAATAATAATAATAATAATAATAATAATAATAATAATTTTATTTCTTCCCCACCTCTCCTCATGGCTTGAGGAAGGTTACAAAACAACTAAAATACAAAAGCACAGTAAAAATACTACAAATGGACATACTAAAATATACTTCCATGAAAGCTACACACCGAAAAATATCTACAAAATACATACTAAAACACACAAAACAGAAATCAAACAAGGGACATTGAAAATTCATGTTTAAAGACATTGCCTTTTGTGAGCTGCGCTCTTGCACTTACGTGTCCTGCTCTCCTAGTGCCCTGTCCATACATTATTTTCGGCCGTTTCATGCAGCAAACTATCTAAAGAACTTGACGGTAGCCAAATATCGCTGCCTATTTTCCAAAGCAAGGTGCAATGTGCTCCTGTTTGGATTGCTGCGTGGGAGATTTGCAGGTATTCCATATAATGAAAGACTCTGCCCATGTAACAAACAGGAAGTAGAGTGCATCTACCACATTCTTCTGTCATGTAGTTTCTGTGAAAAGGCCCAAGCAGACGTAATCAACCCCCCTACAAAGGAATTTATCAATAAGTTCAGTGAAATTTTATGTGAAGTTTCTACTTAGTGACAACCTTCACGTGATGTTGGCGGTTGCCAAGTTTCTGAGACAGCAAGAATTAGACATTTCCCAATTTTATACACAGGCTGAAGCACACCAGCACTTTTTGTAGTCTTTTACCTATGTTTTTAGCCAACATGTATTTTAAGCAGTTTTTACTGTTTGCAAAATTTATCCACCTGGATGTTCTTAATCCCATTACCTGTATAACTTGTATGCTACAGTGTAATAAGGGTCTTGGGACCATAATAAAAATGTATGTATGTTTAAAGATTGTCTGGGTAGGCCTGCTGGAAGAGATAGGTCTTCACATGGTTTTAAAATTCCGACAGCTCATTTAGCTGTCAGAGTTCTTCCGGCATGAACAGTTTTAGTCCTTTCTTTACAATGAAAACCTAAAATATGATACCTAGTGCTACATAAACACATGTTTAAAGCAGAGGGTCTCGGGTGCCATTTACTAATAGAACAATGAACTTAGGAAAATAGGGGGGGGGGAGGTGGTTAAGGATCCATAATTTTCAATGATAAGCAGAAAAGTTGCTCAATATTCTTCTGCTTTTGGAAAAGTGCAAAATAATAAAAATATTGAGCATATCAAATACATCATTCATTGATCTCTGGTTATTACAAGTGTGAAAACTCCAACTCACAGTGCAGTATTGAAGGTTGCAAGTAGGTATTTTGGTATGAGAGCATCAAAAGCAAATGGAAGGTTAATGTCTGCCTTTGCCACACACACTCATCCAACTACCGCTTGTGGACAGTTTTACCCATTTTTTTTTAAAAAAAAACTTGTGACTTTTTTGGCCAATCACAGCAATTGCACAGAATTCAGAATGATGGCACACTCAATAAAGAAAATTTACTTGGAGAAAAAAAAGTCAACCTTGTGAAAACAGTGACTGGACCAAAAATCACAACGTCACCGAGAAATAGTTTTATGAAATTCTTCCACATGTACACACATGCTGTGTTTATGTGGTTGTTTAGGATGTCTACTTGAGAGCATTTTTTTCTTTCTTATTTCATCTCTGATTCTTTGCATTCTTGGCCCAATGGCATGGGCAGATATTTGGAAATGGATTCTCCCTCTCCCCTCTATTGAAACAGCAACATTCTACAATTTATTTATTTACAGTTTTTATATTCCGCCCTTCTCACCCCTCAGGGGACTCAGGGTGGATTACAGAATATACATATATGGCAAACATTCAATGCCAGTTGACAGATAATGAATACAGACAATACACAGAGGCTATTTAACTTTTTTCTGGCCGCCAGGGGAGCTGCTGCTTTCATCGTCCATCAGCAACACCAATGAAGTTCTTCCGCATTCCACATTCTTTATGGCCTCATAAATTAGTTAATTTAGCCTCCCACACAAGGTGGTACCTTACTTTCCTACTTGACAGATGCAACTGTCTTTCGGGTTGCAAAGGTCGACAACAGGCTACACAATGGCTGGACACCCACTCCAGCCCGGGCTGGGTTCGAACTCATGACCTTTTGGTCAGAGTGATCTTAATGCAGCTGACACTCAGCCAGCTGCACCACAATCCCGGTACAAGCCTCCTATATTAGTTGCTTGAGATGTATATACGTAATTCAGATTGCTTACTGTATTGTATATGTGTATATTGGTATGCAGTTTTCCTTAACTCTATGTTATGGGAAGGACTGCAGACCATATGATCAGATCTGGGACTATTCAGGACTCAGACTTCATTTTAGAAACAGTACAGTTTAGAAGTCAGTAGATACAGAGTGCTTTAGAGAAGAGACTCTATTAGACTCAGAACAGAGAGATGCTTTAGACTTTGGACTGTTGATTTTAAGAAAGATGCCCTGTATTATCTACACAGAGAAATCACGCAAGTTTTTAACTCTCCTCAGGGAGATTCCTGGTTTTCTCAAATGGTTATGAATGCCATTTTCCAAAAGATTATGGAAACTTGTAATTCTCCTCCATTCAAAACATGTCTAAGTTTTGGGTTACACACATCATCTTTTAAATGTTTGAGTTATGTTTGGGTGAAGATCTGAGAAGAACTGGCATAGTAAGATGCAAGGCATATTTATGAGACAATCTTGCTGAACATTTGACAAATTGTAACAACCAATTTAATGGCTCTGAAATTATGGTGTACATTTCTAGGAAGCCCCAGAGAAGTTATATATCTTTAACTTTGTTGGTGTTTTTAATCTAGAGAGCTCAACTGGTTATTCAGAATGTGAGTGTCATGATGTTAAAAATGTACAAAGTGGTTTTACATTCTTTTTAAGATCTAGCTGTCATCCCCCCCCCCCCCCCAGTCCAGGCTTGGCTACAGTTTCCCACTTACATTCAAAGTTTGTGACTCTTCATTATTAAATGGCTATTAAAATAATTGGAGGAAAAAACATGAGAAGCATTGATCAAACCAGAAAGCAGCAAGCCTCCTGAGTAAGTTGCTCAGAGGAATCTTGTTCTGAGGATCTGCTGAAAAATTTATTCTCACCAAATCTGGTAAACATTATTTTCAGATCAGTGTGTTGAGAGGGTTACAGAAAGCATCAACTCTTTTTAATCTTTACCTTCAGCCAAAACAGACAGAGGATATAAAGGAATCCACAGAGAATGATGGAGCCATGTCAATTCTGGAAAGTAGATTCCTATTGCTGCTAACATGCAGTAAATGTATCTTGAAAGAAAAGGAAATGGAAGAACATTGAGATAAATGTTGATATTTTGAAAGCAGGGTAAAATCAAAATCTAATGAATCAAAATTTTATTTTCTAAGAGATACTTCTGAGGGAAGTTGAACTTTTTATCTTTATTATGAGTTAGACAAAAACCCAAATCGTGTGCCTAAGATCATTATCTTAGAGTGTGATTCCTCCCTCTACTTTATGTCTGTGTCAACCATATACTGTATGTTTGTAGAGTTCTAATCCAGTAAGTCAGCAACATTTCTAAAGCTGCTTGATTTATCCCGCTCATTCACTCCAAAAAAATCAAGCAAATAAGTAACTTTAGCTAAAATACATTGCCCAAATCTACCAGGTTTATTTCTCGTGTCAGGGCAGCCAGTCAAACTACCAGGTGACCAGTATATCCTTAAAAGACAGATATTTTTGGAAAATAAGGGATGCTTTCACAGTAAATTTTGATGCTGCTTAAATTTATTGGTGATGTTTTTTCCCAGGTTCTTTGCCATTTGTCTGCTAACTTGGATCTATCTAAACATGACTTTGAATGAACATCCGGTCTTACAAATTGTAAACCACATAATTAGCCAGATAGGCAGATTAACATCAGTACTACCTATAGGCATGCTTAAGGACTGGAATTTTAGGAAACGTATGATATAATGGGAGAATTGAACATACAGTGTTATCTATGCTGTTTATTAGTTTACAAGGTAGTATCTATACACAAATCAAAGGGATATTATCAGGCTAGAATGTATCCAGGGAAGGGTGACCAAATTGGTGAAAGGTCTGAGAACCATACCCTTTGAGGAGCGGTTCAGGAAGTGGCTTATGTTTAGCCTGGAAGTGAGAAGACAAAGAGGGAACATGATAGCCGTGCTTAAGTATTTGAAAGGATGTCATATTGAAGATGGGGCATGTTTGCTTTCTGTTGCTCCAGAGACTGAGGGTGCATCCAGAAAGGGCACAAAATGCACACCCTTTCGAATATTCTTAGGGGGCATCCAAACAATGCCTTAGGTTGACTCAGGTCAACAGCAGAAATTTTGAAAAACTAGTCTGCTCACATTTTTGCTTGACTAACCTTTACTGCATCCTCTTAACACTCAATACAGTTTATAAAGATAGCCTACAGCTGCATGGTTGCTAGATATTGGCCAGTATTTCTGACGTTGCGTGATAACCAGCCATGACTATGTGGTCAATAGCTATTCACACTGAAAAGTTCTGGAATGCCTAGAGAACATACATTCTTATCTCTACTTTGGTATTTGTGTTAGATTTTGCAAGAAAAGCTCACCAGATAACACTGAATGGCATGTGGAGAATGCAGAAAGCGGAGTCAAAAAGAAAGAACCCGGGTTTAGCTTTTATAGGGAGTGTATTCTGTTCCTACCTGACAATATCCATGATGTTCCAAAGGAAAAATAAGATGCATACAATGTGTTTCCCTTGCACTTCTTCTTGACTAGTGATCACAGCAAACAAGATGACGATTCTTTCTGTGATCTGGAGAAGGAGGCAAATTATTTGGTTTCTATCTCTGTGGCTTGCTTATGGTCCTTGTGTCATAAAAATATTACTAAAGAAGATATTTTAAATTATTGAGAAGTTTACAGCAGCAGAAACAGTGACATGGTTGTTGCTGTTAGTATGTGCTTTCAAGACATTTTGGACTTATGTCAACCTAAGAAGTTATCACAGTTTTTTCCAAGATTTGTTTAGTGGGCTTTGCCTTTGCCTTCCTCTGATCATGAGAGAATGTGACTTGTCCAACATCACCCAGTGGTTTTCCATGGTTTAATGGGGAGTCAGACCCTGTTATCCAAGATTCCTGGTCCAATATTCTATGGAGGCTTCTAGTAGTGCTAGCAGTAAGATGCAGTATATCTATGTTTCCCTAGTAAATTCTATGCTTTTGTGAATTTTGGGATGCCACCATTCCTGCTTTTCTTTCCAACATGTTACTTAGTGGCATACATGCACATCTTATGATGCGCATCTTATGAAGCAGCCAAGCCTAGAAGCTGCAAAGCTTTCAATGCTAATCAAGGTGATAATTGCAGCATTCACAGTTGCCTCAAACAGACAAGAGTTCTTTCTCCCACCCTGGACATTCCACAGATATATAAAACCTACTTGCCTTGTTTCCAACAAATCTCACAACCTCTGAGGATACCTGCCATAGATGCAGGCGAAATGTCAAGAGACAATACTTCTCGAACATGGCCATACAGGCTGGGAAACTCACAGCAACCTTAAAGGTAAAGGTAAAGGTTTTCCCCTGACATTAAGTCCAGTCATGTCCAACTCTGGGGGTTGGTGCTCATCTCCATTTCTAAGCTGAAGAGCCAGCATTGTCCATAGACACCTCCAAGGTCATGTGGCCGGCATGACTGCATCGAGCACCATTACCTGTCATGTGGTACCTATTGATCTACTCACATTTGCATCTTTTCGAACTGCTAGGTTGGCAGATGATGGGGCTAACAGCAGAAGCTCACACCACTCCCCGGATTTGAACCTACAACCTTTCGGTCTGTAAGGTCAGTAGCTCAGCAGTTTAACCCACTGTGCCACTGGGGGTTCCTCACAGTGACCTTATGAACTGTATTTGCCTGTTCAATAGACTTCAATAACACAGGTGAAAGTCACAGAAGTACAACCAAATTCTGATTACATGAATTAGTATGTTTTAAAAACCCCTTAAGTTGCAGACATGGGGGATGCAATAAGATCAGAACCAGGCATTACGAAAGTAGTATTGTTGTTGATGTTGCTATGTTTATTTACATCCCATTTTTTCTCCACAAAGGAGACTAAAAGTGGCTAAGAGACTCAAAGTGGTTTCCATACTGGCTGTGTTTCCAGTTCAGGGCTGGATTGACCATAAAGCAAAATAAGCACCTGTTTAGGATATCAAGGGAACATGGGGCACCAGATAAGTTTTCCACTGTCTGGTCTACTATGGAGCATATGGTGCAACATTGTAAATGGTGCAGCTGGACTGGATTCCAAAAAAGGAACTTCCACAATAAAAAGACTTTTCAATTAGAAAAAGTGGGAGAAAACTTTTGAAATATAAAGGAAGTGGAAGTATACAAAAATAATCATTATTCTCAATCTAAGTTTTATTTCATTTCAAAAAGGGTTGTTTTTTTATCAGATATATATGGGGATAAAATAATCCTTTAAGTGTTTAGGGCAGTGGTTCTCAATGTGTGGGTCCCCAGATGTTTTGGCCTTCAACGCCCAGAAATCCTAACAGTGGTAAACTGGCTGGGATTTCTGGGAGTTGTAGGTCAAAACATCTGAGGACCCACAGGTTGAGAACCACTGGCTTAGATCTTAATCAGGCCCTGCTTCAATGAAACACTTGCTTTGTGCTGCTATTAATCATGGGCAAAGCATTCCCATTGGCTGCTACCAGCTTGAGTTTTGATTTCCATTCAAACCAGGTCAGAAGAGAAAATACTGTTCCCACACAGCATCCTCTCAAATGCAATCTGCTCTCTCATCCAATTTACATTCGAAGTTTTATTTCTATTTTGATTAACCATAGTTTTTCAGTTTGCCTGAGCCTGCAAATCGTTACTTAATCTTAGTTATGAATGGTTTGAAATAGTATATTTATTTATTTATTTATTTATTTATTGCATTTGTTAACCGCCGCTCTCAGCCCTAGGGCGACTCGCGGCGGTGTACAACATATAAAAGCAGTATACAATAAAGCACAACAAAATCAGCAATTCACTAATACACACTAAACTAATTTACACTAAGCTAATCCGCGTCGTCACACATAGAATCATAGCCAATCTCATAGACCGTATTCCGTTCCACTTGTCATTACCAGTTTGTATAGCACTCAATTAAATGCCTTTTCAAATAGCCAGGTCTTTAGGCTCTTACGGAAAGCCATAAGGGAGGGCGCCTGTCTGATGTCAACAGGGAGGGTGTTCCACAGCCGGGGGGCCACCACCGAGAAGGCCCTTTCTCTCGTCCCCGCCAGACGTGCCTGTGAGGCAGGCGGGATCGAGAGAAGGGCCTCCCCAGACGATCTTAAGGCCCTCGTGGGCTCATAGGCCGAGATGCGGTCCGATAGGTATTTTGGGCCGGAACCGTTTAGGGCTTTGTAGGATAACACCAGCACCTTAAATTGGGCCTGGTAGCAGATCGGCAGCCAGTGGAGCTGGGACAACAAGGGCGTTGTGTGCTCCCTGCGTCCTGCTCCCGTTAGTAACATGGCTGCCGCGCGCTGGACTAGCTGAAGCTTCCAGGCCGTCTTCAAGGGCAGCCCCACGTAGAGAGCGTTGCAGTAGTCAAGGCGGGATGTGACCAGAGCGTGTACCACCGTGGCCAAGTCAGACTTCCCAAGATACGGGCGCAGCTGGCGCACGAGCCGAAGCTGTGCAAATGCTCCCCTGGTCACCCCTGAAACCTGGGGATCCAGGCTCAAAGATGAATCCAGGGTCACACCCAAGCTGCGAACCTGCGCCTTCAAGGGGAGTGCGACCCCGTCCAGCACAGGCTGTAACCCTATACCCTGTTCGGCCTTGCGACTGACCAGGAGTACCTCTGTCTTGTCTGGATTTAATTTCAGTTTGTTCGCCCTCATCCAGACCATTACAGCGGCCAGGCACCGGTTCAGGACTTCGACAGCCTCCTTAGTAGCAGGTGGGAAGGAGTGACAGAGTTGGAATCATCTGCGTACAGATGACACCGCACCCCGAAACTCCGGATGATCTCACCCAGCGGCTTCATGTAGATATTAAACAGCATGGGGGACAGTATAGAACCCTGTGGAACGCCACAGGTCAAAGGCTGTGGTGTTGAACAGGAGTCCCCCAATAACACCTTCTGTGTACGACCCTCCAGAAATGAGTGGAGCCACTGCAGAGCAGTGCCCCCAAGACCCATCTCCGCAAGGCGCCTCAGAAGGATACCGTGGTCGACGGTATCGAAGGCCGCTGAGAGATCCAGGAGCACCAACAGGGACACACTCCCCCTGTCTAGCTCCCGGCGCAGATCATCCACTAAGGCGACCAAGACCGTCTCGGTACCATGTCCCGGTCTGAAACCAGACTGTGCCGGATCCAGAATATCCGTGTCTCTCAAGAATACCTGGAGTTGTGAGGCCACCACGCTTTCCATGACTTTGCCCAAAAAGGGGAGATTGGAAACAGGCCGAAAGTTGTCAAATTTAGTGGGGTCCAGTGATGGTTTCTTCAACAGCGGTTTTATAATTGCTTGTTTTAAGCACGCTGGAATCTTGCCTTCCCGAAGGGAGGCGTTAACCACCACCGTTACCCACTCAGCCAATCCCCCTCTGGCCTCCTTCAGAAGCCAGGATGGGCAGGGGTCTAGGATGGACGTGGTGGGCCTCATTCCTCCAAGTATCTTGTCCACATCCTCGGGTTTCACAAACTGAAAAGAATCCATCAAAATAGGACAAGCAGGTGCTCGTGTCACATCCTCTGAGACTGCATTTAACATGGTGTCCAGCTCAGAGCGGATCAAAGCGACTTTGTCTGCGAAGAACCGAGCAAATGCTTCACAGCGCGTGACCGAATTGTCAGGGCTCCCACCTGAGGTGGTGGGAGTTAAAAGACCTCTGACAATCCAAAACAACTCCGCCGGACGGTTCTTTGCAGACGCAATAGTGGCCGCAAAGAAAGATTTCTTTGCGGCTTTTATTGCCGCGGCATATGCCCTTAGAAAGGACACAAACCGTGCTCGATTTGACTCGCTTGGGTCCGAACGCCACACGCTCTCTAGTTCCCTCTTCCTTCGCTTCATCACTGCCAGCTCCTCAGTAAACCAAGGAGCTGGTTTAGCTCGGCTACTTGAGAGGGGACGTTCCGGAGCGATCACGTCAATTGCCCTGGCCATCTCCCCATTCCAGAGAGCGACCAAGGCCTCGACATGGTCACCTACCGAGGAGGCGGGAAAATCCCCAAGAGCCGTCAGGAATCCGTTTGGATCCATAAGCCTCCTGGGGCGGACCATCTTAATGGGTCCTCCACCTTTGCGGAGGTTGGGGGGTGCAGTGAGCCTAAATCTGATCAGGAAGTGGTCAGTCCATGGCAACGGAGAGATAGACAACTCCTCCACACCGCCACCCTGCTCCCATCCCTGACAGAAAATCAAGTCCAATGTGTGTCCAGCACAGTGGGTGGGGCCAGATATTTGTTGGGACAGCCCCATGGTTGCCATGGCAGACATGAAGTCCTGAGCCGCTCCTGTGAGGGTCGCCTCGGCGTGGATATTGAAGTCTCCCAGCACCAAAAGCCGTTGAGACTCCAACGCCAGGCTCGAGACCACCCCCGCTAGCTCAGGTAGGGAGACTGTAGTGCAGCGAGGTGGACGGTACACTAGCAGAATCCCTATTCTGTCCCGGTCACCCACCCTCAGGTGGACGCATTCAAAATTTGTGGTCTGCGGGATGGGGCTCCTGGTCAGATGGATGGAATCTCTATAGACCACTGCAACCCCGCCTCCCCGTCCTC